TGTAGCCACGAGTATTTTGAGGATCGTTTCGTAGCCAATTCTAGCTACTCAAGTTAATTCATCATAATAAATAAAGCTATTGGTTTGAATTAATGTTAATTAATAATAAAAACAAAAATTAACAAACAGCTCGAACCAGCAATACCACGCATCATCAAGAGCCCCATCGGAAGAGCGTATAAAGCCAGTTGGTAGCAAGTCGTTAGGTAATTATTACACTAACAGAAGAGATGCTTAGTGTGAGAAATGCAGCTGCCCCTGCGAGAAACAGACTGACTTACCCATTTTACAGCAGTACACCAAACACTTGTTTCATAGATCATAATTGTCATAGGCTGAAAATTTTATGATTCTACACGTACTCCAAAATTTAAACTGATCTGATGATGATTAGACCATAAACAGACAAGTTTCAAACTTCCCCTGTGTCTTGTATATAATCAATGCAATGCATATACACATTGTCTTTTGTCCGAGATATTTTTCTAACATTTATATTATAATTTTTAAAATCTTATTGCAGCTTATTCCTTGTAAAAACTTTTTACATCTCATCCAATTAAACTTAAGTCTTTCTTGTTATTATAACAATTTTTACACTTTACATGTCGTTACCATTTTATTCAAATTGTTGAAACAAAGTAAATGTTTTTAGAATTATTGAAGATTTTATGTTCGAGTATTTGAAATTTTGTATAATCTTTTTTGAAAAACTTGAGGTTCAGTCAAATACAAATGTTTCTAGGTGATTGTATGTTATTTCTAATACCAAAGCGACCCAGATAAATTCCCGCCATGATAAAATAACGTCATATCTAGAAAGCTTTCAGATACAACTAAAATAAGTCCTTAAAAACTTAATATTCAACAATGAATGTTTTGCCAGAGTCAGAATCCCGCAGTGATAATGAGGGAAGGGGCAGTGTAGATAAAAAAAATTAAAAAGATGAGCTCTTTCCTAAAATTATAGCACCAGATAGAGACGACTCAAGGAACATGTCCCCCATCACGTGGGGTAGCTTAGTGGGATGCAATACTATTTTCCCAGTAAAGGTGAGAAAACAAACATACTGTGAAAATGTCACATAGGTAGGCAGTATAGAAGGCTACTCAACTGGCCATTATATCTCAGGTGGATGGCAGAGTCAATACAGACACACGTATGAAAACAAACAGTCATTATTTTTAAGTATAAAACTTACTACTATGTGTTTACATTTTGTACTCATCTGAATTATAAAATATTTACAAAATATATTTTGTCAGGTCTCTTCATTGAAATCATCGTTGTGCACAAGAAAGAATTTATGGTATTTTAAAATAAAAAGTGAGTTATATATTTTTCAATTACCAAAGATATTTATTGCTATATTATCTTTAATCTTAATCTTTAATTAAGTTTTCAGTATTTTAAGCAATAAAACAACTGTACATCCTATTTAAAAATCTAAAAAAATAATAAAATAGTTCTTAATACTATGTAAAGAAATATTAGGCAGCAAAGAAAAATACCTTTTAAATTTTAAAACATTTTTAATACTTTCAAAACTCGGAATTGAACACAGATGTAGAAAATTTGTTTAACTGAGAAAATAAAGTTCAATGTTAAAAAATGACAAATCATGCGAGTGTGTGTTGGAATTCCCATTAAAATATAAGAAAGCAATCTGCATTAGTTTAAATGGGAGAAAAACCAAACCATAAATATCAGTTCACAATCTAAACATTATTCCAAAGTCTGGCTAAAACCACATTAAAACTTACAAGAAATCAGTATACACTGAAGCATTTTTGGAACCCATGTTTTTAGAAGAGGAGAGAATTTCATCCCTTTTTACAAAACTTGCAAAGTTAAAAAACCTACACAACATTTCATTGTTTTTATCAAATAAGGACAATAAAAATGCTCGTTTTTTAAAGTTATTTCATAGAATATTTCAACTCATTGTACACTAAATTAAAATAAATAAACACATGTGAAGAAGTACCAAGATGCATGCATATTAGCAGATTTTTTTGTATGGAAGTTAATTTTACAGGGCACCATATTAATTATGAAATATTTCATAATATAAATTATATATATATATACCACATTATAAATTGTAAATAAATTTAACGATAATTATTTGTAATTAAGCTTAGATTCTTGTTTTCTTTTAAAACAAGGACTTCATTTAGTAATAATACCAAACCCACATAATACAGCAAACATATTGATATAGTTATATTATAAATTATACTAGACAGGTAAACATTTAATATAAAACCCTTTTGAAATAAGCGCTATAACGTAGAAGTATAAGAGGGCAAAGCGGCCCCAGAGTGCAGCATTATGTTTTTCAGGAAAATAGGGAATCACGAAATATTTAGTGGGGGAAAAGAGAGCATGTTTAACGTCTCATATTTGTAGCATAAATTGAAATTAAAACAACTTCTCTCACTTAGAAGAGATGATTTTTCCACTCTTGCCGTCCTAATGTAACTAAATTGGTAGCCTTCGGGAAACCTCCTGAAGTTTCGAGACCTATTTACTTCTTCTGTTCATAACAGTCAACCTGTGAAGTGCTCCACAGTTCATACACATCGACCTTTCTACCTCACGTGGATAACTACTGAGACTGAGCATGCGTTTATTTAGGGCTATTACGAAGACGCGATGCAGATCGAGTGTGCACATATTTTACTTAAACATTTTCTTTATTTTACCGGTATTATAAAAGCATATGGTAATTATTTATTTTGCCTCGAAATCAATCAAAACAGTAATGTTTGGGAAATGCTCAAATATTGTCATGTCAAACGTTAGTACAGATATTTGGCCATATGAATATAAAGTAATATTTACCACACTAGACTTCAAACTAATCGCAAATTAAGTATATGATGGTTGGATGCGATTTATATGTGGGTGCATACGATAGTTGAAGGCTCTACTAAAAGCATTATATTTATTTATCATTTGATTGTTTATGAAGCAAACACTTTAGAGGCAAACATGCTAAGGTTCCAGATAATTGGGTAGAAATCATGATTTACAAAGTACTTTTGTCATCAGTGGTAGGTTAATAATAATAATCATACCAACAAAAATAAGTGGGGTGCCTTTTACTTTTCATATTATTACATTTCCATTGTTACGTTGATTAACTTATTGGTTTCCGATACAGACAAATTTTTTGAACATATTTAATAAAATGTTTATAAATGGATTTCGGATTATTAAAATAGTGCATGGTAAAACTTTTTTTTTGGGGGGGGGCGTAGTTTATGGGCACAACGCCATTAAATATATTGCTATACTTTACCTCTTATTTTGTATGTTATTAGCAAATATTATGAGTTTATCAACGATTCTGAATTCAAATAGTAAACAGCCGGGAATAGCTAAAAAGAAAAGAACTACATTAACGAAAGAAAGACGCTAGGATCCGCGTGGAAACCATACTGGATTAAAAATTACATAGACAGAAGAGATATTAGGGGTGATACAGAAATTACATCGATGGCTTTCTCAAAACTAAAGTAGATATGTCGAACTTGTTAGGTATAAGACAGCTTCAATTATAACGAAGAAAGAGCGTCTATACAATATGACGTGTGTAGGAAGGATGACTGAATTATTTACTACCAAGATAAACATCTGTACGCGTTTATTTTTATTAAAAATATTTCTATATTAACTTTTTTAGGTATGTGTGTGAGTGTAAAATTTATCCTTCACGTTAATCATTAGAAGTTATGAAACTAATACAGAAATCGTTATTTATATGTAGACAGGATTATTTTCCTTAGTGTTCTAACCACGTAGTATTTTAGAGAAAAAAATAATATAATAATTATGACTTAAAAAGATAAGTTTACAATCTAGAAAAGACTGGGGATTACAATTATTTCCCAATATATATATGCAGTCATATTACTTTAAATGGTTGTGTCGTTTTCAAAGTATCACAACAATGAATATAATATGATGTAAAGATATAATATTTTTACAGAGGGCGACTATTTGCATCACGTGACCGTTTCTATTTAATAACAAGTAGAATCATTTCTGTGAATGTGATATCCGAAGAGCGTTGAACTCATTATTTTTTGCCTTTCATAATCCAGGTATACTCTTTGTAACTAACTTACCTTCCCCTGGAGACAGTTTCATTTCTAACCTCAAGCTTTAGATTACTATACTTAATTGTAATTTCTACGCCTACTTGAGCCAAAAACGAAAAAACTAACAGTACGCTTCACTATCAGCATCATTAGTAATAGTAGTACTAGTAGTTAGTATTACTATTAGTACCACACAATCGGTGACAGTGACAGTTCTTATAGCAATGGTTCGACTTGAAAGACTTCGTAAGCAGCAATTTTTTAGAAAAAAAAAAATGTTATGGTCAAATTAAGCTCTAAACTTGAGTATTAGTAATAATAATAATAATGTATTTGTTTCATTATTATTAGTATTACTGTTGTTGCAAATTAAAAAAAAAGCTAAGAGAAGGACTGGCTTCAGCTTAGCCTTAGAAGTTAGAGGATATTAGACTGAAATTGTAAAGTGGAATCAGATTTCATCTACTGTATTTCTAATATAATAATACTTTTAGTATTTAACTGAAAGCACCTGTGTATTGTTATTCTCGTAAAGATGGTGCAATTCATTATGAGTTAGTGACAGGTATGGTATAACTTGTATTCCATTGTTTTATTTCTATGTATTGTTTGTATATGTAGAAATATAATTATTTTGGTTTATAGGTTTCTTGTTATAACTGTTGAAGTAACAGCCCAAGTTTCATGAAGGAGAGTGCTTGTTTTAAAATGATGAGACATGCTGCTGCACCAGACAGGATAATTTATGGTTACCCATTGGTAAGTTTCTATAAAGAAAAGGTTTCCTCGGGAAAAAAAAATAATACTGGTGAGATGACACTGTTATAAATATTTTAAATAAATAATAATAATAATAATGTTTCAACCATATCCAGTGATCTCAGTTGATACTTATATAAATAGAAGTAACAGACGAGCTTAGAATTTAGGAGAAAGATATTTCTGAGTAGTAAAACTTAAATTTCTCTACAAGCCCAAACTTGCATAAACTGAAGTATTTAAGTGTTAATATAGATTTTTTACTATTTTGTTAAAAAACAAAATTCTATGAGTTTTATCTCATTGTGTATCTTTTTTTTTAATGTATCAAACAAAACATGACTTAATGATGATTCTTAGGTGAACTAAGAGCCAAACTATTGTAAATTTAGTTTTACAGCACATAAATAAACTGATGCAATGTGAGTAATGTTGCTTTATTTTGCTGTGTTTATATTATGAACTGGTTGAACTAACAGGTAGCTATTTACTAGTAATCGTAGTATTTGTACATCATTGTAAAAAAGTGAACATTTTCTACAAAAAGTATTTTATTGTGGGAAGTACTGCATGGAAAAAGTGTTTGAATTGTGCTCTTAAATTGTACATAACTCAGTGTATCAAAATGATTCAATGTATGGACCTCAAAATTTTCATAAGTTTTACTGATACAAACTGTAATGTTTTTATATATTATAGATGCTACCCTTTGTTGAAAAAATAAGTTTTTTTAAGAACTCCAGTTTTTACTACTAAATTTAAAGATTAAATCTATAAAGATACAATCAAACCCTTGCATATGGCCCTAGTGAAAGTGAGGAGAGTACTTTTATTTGAAATTGTTTTCTGTTGTAAAGAAATTATTGTTGTTGCTCATACCACAGTTATTTTTCTACTTCTCTGAATCTTGAATACCCATTGAATAATGTGAAATTTTGTGGATTTTGGTTTGTGGTGTCAATCAATAGATGGCTCCACATTTCATAAGCTTCAATCACTACTTCTGGCATTCAGATCTTGTTGTATTTCAGCAGATGGCACCATTGTATTTATTTTGGTCACATAGATAGATGGCCAAGCCATTGCTCCATTATAGTAAGAAGCATAATGTTTGCTTACTTTTCACTAAAGCATTTGTGGGTGGTTAGGCAATACACTCACACTTAACATTTTGTTCTAACATGTCAATACATTTTAGTGAAACAGAAATGTTTAATTTACCTTTAGACTCTTGAAAAACTTTTTTTTGCTTTATGTTCATAAGTATTTCATGATTCATTACCTTATCTACCAAGTTATTCTTTTTGTAGAGAAAAATGTACAATGAAGTTTTTTTTGTTTTCTTTATATCTAAAACAGTCGTATTACTTGTGAAACTTGGTAAATTTTACATCAAAAACTACATTTTCATTTATTTATTTGTAATCTTTTTTTTTTATATACAATTTGTACAAATGTTAATTTGACACAAAATTTAAATTTTGTAAGTAAAGTTTCATATTACAGTGTATTTTGGGGGTCAGTTGTGTAAGGCTGTTTTTGTTACATATCTTTCACTGCTAACGTACTTTACTATAGTAAGTTTTGTGTACTTCTTCCTGTTCATGAGTAGAAAATATTCACCATAATTATAACACAAAAATTTTATGTTTGTTAACTGTGTTATTTGTAAGAAGATACTCCAATAGCATCAAAATGCACTGTTATTTTATTTCTCTTCATGAAGAACCATATCAAGTATATTACTTAAATTTATATTTTATTTTCTAGGCCTTCTTACCTGATGCAACACCATATACTGATATGGATTTTGATGGGAAAGTTAAAACTGTATGTCAGTCAGAGAGAGCAATAAGGATAGGGTAAGACCGTTAGCATATGGTTACTTGTATAGTTAGTAGGGTACATATTGATGTGTGTGTTTATGTTCATATGGTAGAATGTTCAGAGGGGAATTACATCTGTGATAGGGCATCTTGTTGTGTATTTATGTACAAGTAGTAAAATGTATAGAGAAGGAATTACATGTGTGATAGGGCATCTTGGTGTGTATTTATGTACACGTAGTAAAATGTATAGAGAAGGAATTACATGTGTGATAGGGCATCTTGGTGTGTATTTATGTACACGTAGTAAAATGTATAGAGAAGGACACACCGATACATGCCCTATCACACGTGTAATTGTAATTCCCCTCTGAACATTCTACCATGTGAACATAAACACGTGTGATAGGGCATGTATCGGTGTGTGTTTATATACACACGCTAGAATGTTCAGAGGGGAATTACATATTTTATATTACTTATCTGTATTTAGCATGATATTCAGCATCAATAAACTGTTTTCAGTGTCAAGGATCTAACTTGATCCTTTCCTTCCTAACTGAATAGGTTAGATCTCTGGGAAGCAGAATTTGAGACAAGGTTATACATACATCCTTTACCATGATATGATGTAAAACTAATAGGCACTACTATCATCAGGATGTGTAGCTGGAAAGATATTTATAGAAATCCACTTGACCAGTTTTGTGTATGATGTCAAAACTGCTCGTGGATGATTTAGTAACTAACCAAGTGTGTGCATTAAACACAAAAACTAACCAAGTGTGTGCATTCTTTAGCTAATGGTGTTAATGGAATGTGGTAAATTGTCTGCTTGCTTAATACAGAGATGTGTATTGTTTTACAGGGAAGTGACATGTAAACCTTATGGTACATAGTATGCTTATAGCAGTAAACTAATGTAATACACACGTAGGGGTTTAATCACTGGAAAAATACAGTTACTACTTTCGAGTACTAAACGTGGAGAGCTTTAATAAAGTTAACACATCACATACCAAAAATTAACTTGTAAACTCACTTAAAAGTATAAAAATAATAACTAGAAGAGTTAACTTTTAAAAGTTAGTTTCACAAACCTAGTGTTTAAAAAAAGACATCAAAATAAATGACTGAGAATAGGCTTTGTTTTAAAGAGTACTGCACGTATCGGAGAATTTCAACATCTCGGAAGAAAAAAGTTTCTTGAGATGCCTCAGTAATTTAACTTGTACAATTTGAGGCAGGATTTTATTTAAATTTCTATATTTTGGAATCTTGTTTTCATGAACTTAACATTTAAAAGCTAGAAGTTAAACTTATAACTGATTAGGAGATTAAAATTCAGAGTTTGTAAATACTAAAAATTAGTGACTTATACTAAAGTGTTAATATCTTTAAAAACAATTTACTTTTTTTTTTTCAGGTTAAAAATTTACCAAAACTATTTTTGTTGGGGATGTGGCAGTTGGCAAAACTTCTTTAGTTAATAGGTAAGTATTCTTGTTAATTTACATTTGTTATTAAAAGCAGTGTGCACATTATAGTGCCTTTGGACAACTCCATCTTTTGTTCTTAAGGTGGACAGTATTTAACATTGCAAAGTACACTAGAAACTCCTTTTCCACAAGTGTCAAATTTGTTAACATTATACAATTTTAAGGTTTTAAAATACCAGTTAATTGTTCCAGCATTTATTTAACTTTTTTTTTGCAAATTTCATGAATTTCTCTTTCAGGTTTTGTCATGAAGTATTTGATTCAAACTATAAATCAACAATAGGTGTTGACTTTGAGGTGGAGAGATTTGATGTCTTAAATACACCGTTTCACTTGCAAATGTAAGTTTTCAAAGTTAAAAGATATTCAGTTGAGCTGAAATTATTAACATTCACTGCAATAATTTGTAAGATCTTATCAATATGTAATGTTTTACTATGACATTACTTTAGGTATGTTGTAGATATTTATGATGTCAAAACTCATTCTCTGTTGGTTTGAATACATTTGACTACCGCTTGGAGATGTAAAGACAACAAGTAAAAAAAAAGTTTAATTTAGCATAAAGTAATCAAACAATAGTCTTATTTAATTTTTCCCATTAATCACCAGATTATCTGAAATTGATTCATATCTTTGTTTACCCACAAACACAAGTTTAGTAATATTGTATTGTTATCGTAACAAGTTTGGTAATGTTGTATTGTTATCGTAACAAGTTTGGTAATGTTGTATTGCTATCGTAACAAGTTTGGTAATGTTGTATTGCTATCGTAACAAGTTTGGTAATGTTGTATTGCTATCGTAACAAGTTTGGTAATGTTGTATTGCTATCGTAACAAGTTTGGTAATGTTGTATTGCTATCGTAACAAGTTTGGTAATGTTGTATTGCTATCGTAACAAGTTTGGTAATGTTGTATTGCTATCGTAACAAGTTTCGTAAGAAAATTTGTAGACTGGAAAACTATGACTTAGCCTCCAGCTATTAAACATTGGTTAATACATTGTTAATTACATGTTTAGTTATAAAGTTTTAAGAGGTAAGATTATAGTATATTACATTGTTATTAACTCTCCTATACATATATATATACATATATACAGCAGTTTAAAAGAAGTATATTAAAGTTACTTGAATTCTCTTTTTTTGTTGTTGTCAATCAGATGGGACACAGCTGGTCAAGAAAGGTTTAAATGTATAGCTACAGCTTATTATAGAGGAGCTCAAGGTAAGTTACCTATATCTAGTTAATCAATCTGACAGTTCTTTTAATGATATAACATTTCTATAAAGAAATCATTAATCATCAGGGGTGCTCAAAGATTAAGCAATCTTCCTTCTGCTTGGTCGAGATATTGGTGAATTTAGATCATATGGATTAATGTTCCTAGAGGTCAATTGCAAATTATTGGGAAGAGTTAAGGTTTTAACTAAAAGGTAAAAATCTAAACAAGGTGTGAGGGCAAGACAAGTCTCGAACATAGTGGTGTAGGAGAAGAAAAGTCAAATCGGAGAAAGAAACGTGTTAGTTGAACACCGTTAGATAAATGCAGACAAGGAAACGTGTTAGCTGGCCAGTGTAAAATACAAATATCACAGGTAAGTAAAAAGATATCATATTATGATGAAGATATCACATTATATGTCAAAACTTAAATTGGTAACTCATTTAAAAGTGAAGAATAAAGAAAGTTACTTAAATTAAGTTTATCTTAGTTTCTCAAATTAGGAGCTTGTTTTTGAACACCCAGTAAGTAAGATTAATTACCTTCTGTATTGTAGCTGTGGTGATTGTGTTTGACGTAACAAACACATTCAGTCTACAACACGTTCCTGTGTGGCTAGAGGAAACTCTAGAGAACAACAAAGAAAAGCCTTTGGTCTTTCTAGTTGGAACTAAGAGAGATCTTGTGGTAGGTTTCAGTTTTTTTAATGTTTGTTTACCAGCCATTTGTTATTGCTCAAGATCTAACTTTAAAAAATATTACGTAATGAATTATATCATGTATCCTGATAATTAAATAAATATTTTATATTTGAGGATAAAGTTACTAGAGTTAATGATGATAATTCAGCCATTTCTTATTTCCACACAGTGTTTTTTGAAAATAATTAAACTTTTTTTTTCAGATCTTGCTTTTCCCATTATTATAATTTCATTAAAGATTACTGTGGCTTAGCAGTTAACAATTATAAGTATGATAATATTCATTCCTTACTTCAAGTTTTTTGATTTACTAATGAACTGCATTTAATTTTTAATATTTCAAATATCCAAATACTTGTTATTTTTTGTCATTTTATATTTATTTCAAATATGAAATATTTGGTTGGCTAGGAACTGTGTTGATAATTGTTGTAACTTCATGTTGACTCTAGAGTGAACCTGTTTATCATATGGTTGAAAAACAAGCCATTGCCATGGCAAAGTCCCTGAATGTTGAGTATTGGACTGTTTCTTCAAAAACTGGTTAGTTAGTAGTAGTAGGAAATGGAAGATGAAATTAGTCTACATACATCGTATTAGATAAAAAAAAAAATATTACTACCTAAATATCTAAATTTAGTTAGAATATTGAGAATTATTATTAATTAATTAATTAATTATTATTAATTTAAAAGTCTGATGTGATTTGTTAATGCCAGTTGTTCAGCTGTAAAGATAGATTAATTTGTATACCTGAAGCCTTATATACTAAAAAAAAAAAAAAA